TGTATGTATGTATGTATGTATGTATATATATATACATATATATATATATATATATATAAATAATGTACTTAGACCACTTGTACCTTATTGCTTATTTCTAAAAGCATTTTTACCTTGTTAAAATTGTTATAATATTAACAAGCTCAGGCTTTATGAATCCAATGAAACAGCATTTCTTTTTCAATTCTTCCACCACCTGGTCATTTCATGTATTGATCAAACTAACTCAAATAAATGTAATTGAGTAATTAGTCCCAGTATTTTTTCCCCCAATAAGAAGCCTGTGGACAAATGTTTACATGTGGTTCTACATCTTTCAGAATATATGTATAGCAATATATATCCATTACAATCCCTAAATTCAACCATAAGGTCATTCCCGGAAAATACATTCCAGGAATTTTACTATAGCAATAATAAATGAAGACAGCTTAGCATGCAACTCTCAAATGCAAAAACAAACATACTCAGGTGTGTTTTACCCTATACTTTATTTGCGTTTCATGTCAAGGGGTGAAAACGTGCCTACAGTAAGCAACTGAAGGAAACATACACAGCAATTCAATCGACACAATCTGTAGAACCAACTGTACACACATCTGATCGCCATTACATCTTTCCATTAGAGCCATTTAAACGGAGTGTTTTCCCCAGTAACGGTTAAAAATGCAGATTCAAGGCAAAACAAAATACAAAAAAAAGCAACATTGACAGTCTTCAAAACGCAACCTCCTGCAGAAGCTTCTTAATAACAATAATTATAGAATTCAGTGAGGAATTTGATGTTTGCGATGCAAATTTTCAGTTTTCAATAAGTGCGTTTTTCAATTGAGATGGTAACATTTTAAAGTGCTTTTAAAAGATTAAATTCGGCAAACAAGACAACCGTTAGACAAATGAGCATTAAACAAGAAAATAAAATGGGAGGACTGTTGAGTGATTTCCTCTCCGTTGCAAAACTTGCACTACACCAGATTCATATTGCACACAAAAGGTCTTAAAACACCATCTTCTATATTCCCCCTGCTACTACAGTATTACAGTAATTTACACAGGACACTAGTAGGATCTGGATCCAACCGACATGGAAAAACAAAGGACAATTGAAACCAAGTACACTGGAATCTATATATACTTGTCATAAGAAAAAAATGACATTTGTAGACTTGAACAGCAAAATCCATAGTCTATAATAAAACAGAAATAAATAAAACAGTATTATCTAGTTGCAAGTGCAACAAAATGAAAACATGACCTAAAATGTTTAAATAAACCCCGCCCACCATTAAATAGACCCCACCCATTAACACGAGTCAATGAAAGGCAGTAACGTTGTGCTGAATGAAAAGCATTGGAACAGTAACTGTAGAGAGCCAATCAGCAGGTCTAAATAAGCAAACGCAAAATCAAAAGGCAACCAAAACCACAACAGACAATCTACAGTCATGTTTTGGTTGTGTGAGCCAGAACTAAATGTTGTGCTGGTTTCCCTGGGTTGTTTGCAACGCTCAAACCACTGAAGATCCAATTGCCATTTCCAAAATGCAGAACTTCAAAATATGGACCCTATAATGGACTAAACCATACCAACTAAAACAACTAAAATCAAATAAAAGCTAAAGACTCAGGAGTATAGGTATATTGTAACTTCAATGGCTGTTTGACCACTGCACAAACCTCACTCCAACAAAACGACAAAGTGACACTATACAAACTCTTTTAAATGTAAAACGAACTACAAAACTGTATTGCTATAACAGGGCATCTATGAAGGAGAGGAGGGTGGGATGTGATCATTTCCACATTCAAGAATCCCTTAACACGGCTTAGTTCACCCAAAAATTAAACTTCTGTCATCATTTACTCACTCTCATGTCATCCAAAGCTTTATAAATTTAATTTTTCTGTGAAAAATATGTTTTTTTCCGTAAAATGAAAACAAGGATTGAAAAGGAGCACCAGAAACATAAAAAGCAGCTTAAAGTATGACAACCACTGAAAATCTTGACATCTCATTTGCATTTACGTTTTAACTCAAATATGGTGAATAAAGACACGCTGTGGCAGGTTTGATGTCAATGCCACCGAATGCCATTATGTCTCAATCGAATGATCACGGAGGGCAAGATTTGAAGTGAATAATGACTTAAATTTGCAGTTGTTTGACTTCAGAAGTCGCTCAAGTCATAATGGACTACCTCAATAGTGCTTCTTGTCCTTTTTGGAGCTTGAAATTGTCCATCTCATCCATTTTCATTTCAAAAAGCAGCATAAACATTTAGATATTCTTTAGTGTTTCATGAAAGAAAAATCGAACAAGTTTGGAACACCCTGAGAGTGAATACATTTTTCATTGTTGGGTCAACAATCTCTCTAATAAACTGCAAGGTTCCCTGCCTACCAAAAACAATATAACAAGAATCCTGTCTGAGAATATGGTAGGTAAAACTAAGAGGAGAAATCCACACACATGATTATTAATGATTTGTAGTGACTGAGCTACGGAGCAGCATCGATACGACAAACTCTACCTGCTTAAAAGTTAAATATTGAAATGTCAAAATGAGCATGTGACATCAGTATTACTGTTTTTTTTTTACCTAGCTATGACTCATCTAAGACCTCAGGCTGTGGCATACACACAGGTCTTTATGCTGTAACAATTACTCGTTGTGTGTTCGTACAGTGCTTTAAATATTCCTGCAGCTCAGGTGCGTCTACATTAAGCAGCCTTTTCGTTCTCATTTCATGGAACTGCATCTCGTTTGTCTACTTTCAGAAACCTTTCATCTACTTTCAACATAATTTAAATCTTTCTTCTGAACATGTCCATCATTACAAAAACTAGTTCAATGGTTCATATATACAGTTCAATTGTAGTGTTTAACTTACTTATTTAGTTGAAATGTTCAATAGAAACTACTCAAAGTAAGAGAGAACAAGCTAACTCTCTAAACAAACCCAAAATGTGAATGTAAAAATAATGCAGCTAGAATTTTTTGTTCTTTTTTCCATTTTTCATTCATTTCTGCCTTTTTTTCTTTTGTAATTTTGTAATACATTCAACTTGGCACAGTGAGGGACGTGGAGAGCAGGATGCGAGCAGAAACCTACTGTGCAAGAGTGAAGAGATACACGCTAATTACACACGTGTCCACTGGTGCAAAAAGCCTTTTTTTTTTTTTTTAGTTTTCTTTATATTTTAAAGGGAAGATATGATAAGAATGGAGGAACAACTGTACAGCCCAGACGGGGATAGTATTTCATGTTTCATACACATATATATACTTATATTCATTTTCATATGTATAGTATTGAACCTTCCCGTGCTGTGGAATGCCTGTTCAGCTTTTTGGGGTGATATCAGCTTCAGCTGGGGCTACTGGGGTTAAATTCAGCATTCAACAGCTGGAAAGAGTGAGCAATAAAGACACAGAGGGTGAAAAAGGAGAAAGAAAGAATGAAATTATATTCGCAACCCATTTTACCTCCACAATGTGACATAGTTATGAGAATTTTGCAGCATCTACTCACTTATTTTACTGTTTGACTCCGCCTCCTCCACGGATGCCCGCTGATTGGCTATTCGGGAAGAGCCCCGCCCCTAAGCGGTTGACATTGGGGTGGGTGGGAGAGGCGACAGGGGGCTGACCTGGTCTGATTGGCTTGGCTGTGAAAGGAGGACATATGACTAGTTAGTTAAGCCAAAAAACAAACTTTGATTGTTTACTAACTTGGTCTATTAAATCTATTGATCAAAAATCACTCCTAAAAGACTGAAGGCTGGAATACACTATAAGACTTGTGCACAGATTTTCAGCCCAATTTGCAGTCTGGACAAGTCAATGCTAGTCTGCAGGTTTTGGGCAGTCAGAGTTGACAGTTTTTCATTAAAAATCACCTGGTTTATGATGGGCACAGACTCTAATTTTTTTATCGTTAGACTATGATTCCATCCAGTTGGAGGAGATCAAACATGTTTGATAATTTGAGCCCATTATAGAACAAATGTTGTTGTCATTTGCCATGCATCTCCTAGCAGTGAGACTCATGTTTATGTGTGAGATCACTGCAAGTGTATGAGGCCTAAAAGTTGTTTTTAAAAGTTGACAACAAACCGAAAAGCTTCAAAGCTGCCCATTAATTGTGTTAAATTCAAAAGAAATCATGAGATGAACCATGATTAATCATTTTAATCTACTAATATCCCTACAAATGTGAGCAAGCAACACCTCTTGGTAGCAATCAACAACTTTCACTGTTCCTCTGTTTTAGTATGACCCTACCCAAGTCGAAATGTCAAAAGACATGCGTCTTCCATAAGCACTTCGCTGAATCTAGTAACTGCACTCTTTTAAAGTGTGTGTGTGTGCTAACCGATCTGTGCGGAGTGTCCTCTGCGGGCCATGTTCTTGGCTCTGACGGCCTCTTTGATGCGGTCCACCTCCTGTTGGTAGCGTTTGCGGTCACGGGCTGCGTTCTCTTTGGCCTCTTTGAGTGCAGACTCCAGAGCCTTCACACGCTCCGCCGTGGCCCGCAGGCGCTTCTCCAGCTTGGGCAGCTCACAGCGCAGGTCAGCGTTATCACGCACCAGCTAGACAAAGGAAAGAAAGACTTCAGTAAGCATGTGTTTTGAGAGAATGCCTGTGGTGTCCGATGTTTTAAGTGTGTGTTTACCTGCTTGTGCACTTTAGTGAGCTGCTCAAGGTTGTTCTCAAGGAATGAGATCTTCTGTTTTTGTGCCGCACTGCCGCCAGTGTCATCTGAGTCCATCTCAGCGCTCTGAAAAATATGTTAATGCATAATTCAGGCATGTCCGAGAGTGGTCGATAAAGTCGTAACTGGAGTTTTATGACATCTATTAGCTTTGAAGACTAAAGGCTACTAGCCATAAAGAAAAATTAAATAAAATAGTAAAATAAGAAATAAAATAATTAAAAACTAATAATAATATAAAGTAAAATAAAAAATTAATAATTAAAAACAGTACTAAAATTTCTAATAATAATAGTAATAAAAAATTTAATTAAAAAACTTAAAAAGGTAAAATAATTAATAAAATCATTAAAGAATTAGAATAAGGTACAACTCTAAACATGTAACATTTATAATAATAATAATACAAATAAAATTCAATTAAAGGATAAGCTTTGATATGTCTCTCAAAACGTCCTGTTTAAACAGGAACTTAACAGAAAAGGCATTTTAAAAAAGACAGCTATACACAAGAATCTATAAAGCCAGTCTAATGTTTAGCTTTTAATAGTAACCATAGCTCAGGGTTAGTCATTATAATTTCAAGAAATATCCACATTGAAACTATTTAATTATCTGGAGCAACTTTCTAACTACAAATTTCAGTTAAAGGAGAATGTGTTTACAACTGCGATACCTTCTTCACCCGTGTGGCCAGATCCTGAACAAAGAGTTTCCTCAGGTTATGAAGAGTCTGCAGCTCTTTGGCCTGAGGAGAAGAGAGCAATCAGAGCGTGCACACATAAATATGAAACACCTCTCATGTACAGAACAAAATGACCTACCACTGTCTCCTCCAGGCCTTTGAGATCCTGTCTGGCCTGTTCCCTTCTGTCCTGCATCACCCTGTAAACATATTTCATCATTAAGACACCAGACCAAACATTTCTTGCATGCTATTCCAGATCTCTGCATGTTTGTTGCATGTCGTACGTCAGCTCGTGCAGTTTGCGGCTCTTCTCCTGGTCAGTGTTTTTGAGTTTCTCGTGCTCCACCTTCAAGCGCTCCTGCTCCAACATGATCTTCTGGTTCTGACTGCAGACAGAAAACAAAGTGAGAAAAAAATGAGCCCATGTGGATTAATTCAGTGCCTGAAGATGTGTATGTGTATGTCTTACTCCTGCAGTTCAGTGATGAGTTTCTCCTTGATCTCCAACTCGTCTCTCAGGCTGCTCAGCTGTTTCTGATGAGCTTCTCTGTGGTTCTGGATCTGCTGCTCAACTGCAACCTGTACAATCAAACATTCAGAGAAACTATGAATTACAATCTCTCTATTAAAATAAACAAAACTTCTATCAAAAGCCCCCCTTCTGAATCTAATTGAAGTGCAGAAAATATAATAGATACATAAAGAGTATAATGAGCAAAACTCACTAAAATGTCCAGAAAAATCATTATGCAATTGAAATGTATAAAATGCTTACCTTGACTTCATTAGCACTCTGTATCTCATTCTCCTTCTCCATGGCATGAACGTTTTCTGCACAAGGAAAAATAAACTTCATCACAACCTCTTTCATGCCCAATACAGTCTCACCACAAGAGGGCAGTAAAAGTTGGTCAGTCTGGGCCACACAGTTTTTGTCTGGGCATTAAAATTCATTTATGAGAGGACAGAAAAGCATGTGTATTTGTACCCTGTGCACTGAGTTTGACCAGTTCCTCATTGAGAGAGTCGACGTTCTCCTCTAGCTGTCTCTTCTTCTGTTCAATGTTTTGCAGATACTCTGTCAGGGACTTGATCTTCGCCTCATACTGTATACAAACACAGACAAATTAATCTCAATATCTTTTTAAAGTTTCCTGTAAATGCCATGCTAGTATTGTAATGGAGAGCATGTGGTGTTTCTATTTAGCTAAAGTCATACAATAATTATCTAATAAAACATAAGACTGGTTTTACCAAAAGAGCTTTGTAAATGCTCTTTTATGTTCAGTAAAAGAAACTAAAACAAGTTTAAAAAGCTATACGTGTGAGTAAATGATGGCAGTTTTCATTTCTGGATGAATGAATAGTTGTTGTTTTATCATGTCGTTTTTGCATTTACCTGAGAGATACGGAGCTGACAGGCTGCGAGCTCTTTCTCGTTCTCATCCATCTTCTTGTTGCTCTCGGCCTGAGTGCTTTCCAGCTGTTTGCTGCGCTTCACCAGAGTCTTCACCTCCGACTTCATCTTACTGATGTACAGACGAGCAACTGTGAACTCTTCATCAATGAGACCTCCATCCTCATGCTGCTGAGACAAAACAGACAGAGAGAAAGAAAGAGAAATAGCTGAGGTTAGAGAGAAGGGTGAGCAGTTATAACAGTGCAAAGGAAGTGGAAAATAAAAAGCAAGGACAAAAAGAAAACACACACACACACATATATATATAGAAATAAGTGAAAGAGAAGTTAATGCAACAAATTTTGCCCTTTTACCTTAATGTCATTGCTGCCTATGGCGATGCCAATCTCTGCCAGGTCTTTAAGCAGTGATGACATCATCTCAGTGACTCTCTTCTTCTGATGGTTGGTCCTTTCCTTCAGTTTCTGCAGCTCAGAGTCGATAGATGCAAGAACGCTCTGCAACAACAGACAGCTCAGATCAGCAACCAGCACCAAGACATAACTTCAAATTACTTGCACTGATATAGTTACCCTGTTGCTCTAAAATTACATTATTTTAAATATAATAATTGCTTTATCTTTTGTATATATAAGTTATACAACATTATTAATACTCAGATGTTATTATTATTGTTATTATTATTAACATATTTTCTGGGTCTTCTGAAGAGTTTAATCTAATTTGCTGTCTAGACAAAAAGAGAGTACAACATTTTCAAGCAAAAGTAAATTATAACTTTTCGGTGAAAGAAACCATCACATATGATAAAACAATAGTGAAGAAAACTGTGTTTTTAATGAAGAGTTTCTCCTCACAGATTTCTGGTTGAGCTCTTCACTCAGGGATTCAAACTCCTTGGTCTTGTCCTCCACCTCCTGACTCTTCTGATCATAGTTGACTGCGAGCTCCTCCAGGGCCTGCAGCACCTCCTTCACCTCCTCTTTAGACGCCTCATTCTCCATCTGCAGACGGGTGAGCTCCGCCCGCAGGTTGTCATGGTCCCTTCGCGTTGAGGCCAGCAGCTACAATTCAAAGATTTTTTTTTTCATTGTGGCAATACTGTCATTACAGTAATTATTATTATTAGTGTCAAATTATTGAGGAGAGAGAAGAGGGGATTGTGATGGGATCTCAACTCAACATGTAAGGAGCATGTGCACTAGGCCAGAACGCTATTTATTATTTATAGCTTTTAAAGGGCAAACCCCAACTCCCAAGTTTTTAGTCTCCAAATGATTCACAGCCAACTAGGAGACAGGAAATTGCTCTTATTTATGGGAAATAATGTAAATCTGATGTGCATGTTCAGCTCTCACCTCTTCCTGATCCAACATCTGCTGCTTGAGTTTCTCAGCCAGCTGAGACTGCTGATTTATCTCATCATCCTACAGGCAGACAACAGAGAGAGAGAGAGAAACACAGAATGAATGTAATGAATGAGTCTTGAAGCACATCTTAACTATTTTACAACAGAACTTAGTTTTTTACATTATTATTAATAAAGAGAGTCTAAGAGAGCTGGGTGGTTGATGGCTGATATTATGCAGTTTGGGGTCAGTATGACTATTTTTTTTAAAGTCTCTTATATTCCCCATGTCTGCATTTATTTGACCAAAACTACAGTAATGTTAATAGCATAAATGTAAATGCTATTCAAAATAAACAAATAACTGCTTTTTATTTGAATACATTTTAAAATACAATTTATTCCTTTAATTGCAAAGCTGAATTTTCAGCATCATTACTCCAGTCTTCAGTGTCACATGATCCTTCAGAAATTATTCTAATATGCTGATTTGTTTCTTGCTGTTCAAGAAACATTTCTTCTTATTATTCTTATTCTTATTATCAATGCTAAAAACAGTCATGCTGCTTAATATTTTTGTGGAAACTGTGATATATTTTTTCGTCAGGATTCTTTGATGAATAGAAAGATCAAAAGGACAGCATTTATTAGAAATAGAGAACTTTTATAACATTATAAATGTCTTTACTGTCACATATGATCAATTTAACACATTCTTGCTGAATAAGTGTTAAAACGTTTTTTGAATGGTACTGTATACTAGAGGTGTGCACAAATAGTCAAATATTCGATCTGGAATTATCATTTGAAAAATAAAAACACTATTCGAATTTTACTACGTGTTGCTTTGCTGGCCGTAAATGCAGGGAATCCATGATAAATCCTAAGCATGTAAAGTAAAAGTCAGTAATAACTAAATGCACTGGGTGGCGCTGTGTAACGTGTTGATGGTATTTGATCACAGAATGTCGAAAAATCATTTTTTTATGAGCCCAAATATTCGATTACAATGTTCTTGAAAAATGCCCATCCCTACTGTATATTTCTTCGTAATAATTTAACCGGAGCAAATGATATGGGGGGAAATGCTGAAATGAGACTCTTATTTCAGACAATATATGAAGATACTAGTGGTCTTGAAGATACAAGCTTTAGTTAATCGACCACAACAGAACACAATTATTGGCAATTACATTCCAAATGCAAATGTCCAAAATCTTCATTCATTTAAGGTCAGTAGTTCATCTCACCTTGTCATCCAGCTGTTTGTAGAGTTTGGCCAATTCAGCCTCACACTTCTCACGCTCAGCATCAGTTAATTTAAGGCCGGGCACGCTGGGAGACGAGGTGAATTTATCATTATTCATCACATTATCCAGGGCCAGAACATCTGCATTTGCCTTCTCCTTATCGTACTGCTCCTCAGTGGGGACGCTCTCACCTAAGAACACACAAAACAGTTGTGTGTAATTTTCAGTGAATGCAGCTGAATGAGTATGAAGCGCGTGTCATTACAGTACCGTTCCTCCAGCGGTTGAGCTCGTTCTCCAGCCAGGTGATGGTGTTCTTAAGCGTCTTGTTCTTCTCTTTCTCCTTCTCATATTTCTTCTTCCACTGCTCAGCTGTCAGCTCCACGTTCACACACACTGTGTTCTTGATGGTCTTTGCTCTGAGAACAGTGAAAACTGGAAAAAATTACTTGTCGCTCAAAACGAAAGTTTAATTAAAACTCTCAGTCTGTTTATATCTCATCACCTCTGTCCGAACATGAGCGTAGTTTTGGTCTCGGCCTCGTTAAAGGAAGATGGAGAGCAGCAGATCACTATAGTTGTCCTGCAGTTTCCACCCAGAGAATCCTGCAAGATCCTCGTCATCTTACTGTCTCTGTAGGGAACGTACGTCTGACAGGGGAAAGAAATATTCAATCATTATCTCTCTATCCGTTTAATGACGCAGCTGATCATATATAACACAGCCCTGCATCTTGAAAAATAAATGATGCTGATTTACAAAGACCCAATATTACCTAATAAAAATTAGAGTCAGAGTCAAATAAAAATAAATACAAATTGCCATCACACAGTTTTTTTTTTCAAAAAATAAGATTTTTTCAAATTATATACATGCATCAGCTTTAACGCACTTGTCAAAATAAAAGCAGGCAAATCTCAAAAGTTTAAATGCATCATTTAAATTATGATCTGCAAAGGAGTGGAAAAATTTGTTTAATGTCAAAGAACTTTACATATACACAAATGTATAAATAAATAAGCTTTTTTCAGAGAATCTGTCATTTTCTGCCACTGTTTGGATGTAGTAAAACACCCACAGATGCCACAGAAAACATTTGGGTCATGTTTGCATTTTCTTCTGTCAATGGCCATAACTCTAACCTTGAAATCAGGATTAGACATGTTATAATGCCTCCAGATTCATTCATATATGTGAAAATGGCAGGGAATTGAACAAATAATTGTAACCTAGCTCAGAGGAAGATGGGAATCATGTCTTCGTGTCAGTTTTTAAGATGACTTCACCTTACAATTGGTTGTGGAAAGCAAAAATGCTACGAAATGTAAATCATAATTTGTAAGAAAGTGTGCTTGAGCAAAACAGGGACTATCATTCGAATCAGCACCCCAAAACTAGTAAGAAACAAGTATTGGATTTCATTCAGCAAATAAGATGCAGGGTGGTGAATTGTACAGCTCGGGTGCATCACACCTACCGTTCCTTCAGCTAGAGCAGAGATGACGTTGCCCAGAGCGGAAAGAGATTTGTTAATGTTTTTGGCTTCATCCAATAAAGCACCCTCTGCTCCGGTTTTACTGACCTGCCACAAAATAAAACTAACATTAATAAGGAACTAATCAAATCACATACACTATTATGGGTCCTGAAGTGAAACCAGCTGAGAATAATTGAAAATGTCTGTAAATGGGTTTAAAAAAGAAACAGAGAGAACAAGTGAAAGAGGGAAAGAGGAAGTGAAAAGAGAGAAGTAGAATGATAACCTTCTCGCTTCCTGCTAAATCCACCAGGAAGAGTTTGCCACTCAGTTTCTGCTCCGTCTGTGTGTTCTCTTGCTTGACGTTTATCAGGAAGATACTGTGACTCCTGGAGCTGTGCTCGTTCATGTCTGACACACACCACAGAGAAAACACAAGTTTCCATTTCCACTCAACTTTAACTACAAGCACACAACAGGACACTCTTTTGGTTGTTTAAACATCTCAATAAGTAAAATAAGAAAGAACATCCTAACACTACTCTCGCTAATGTAACTCAGAAAGCAACAGGTGTGGAAAGCTTCAGCCTGCTAAAAACAGCTATGCAGTGTGTCTGACTGATTTGCATGGGCTTACTTGTGACAGCCACATGTCTGTTGGATTTGCCTTCATCAATGGTGTCCATCACTTCGTCTGGGCTACACACAAACCGTTCAGTACAACCCTGCAGATGGAGAAAGAGATAGCGAGGGAAAACATTTGAACCACTCCTTTACTAATACATGCACAGCTAATTACTAAAACACAGCCTCACCTTTACATAAGGGACTCTGTTCTTGTCTTCATGTACAGACAGATTGGTCTTAGATACTGAAAGAAAAATTATTTATTATCATTATTTTTTAGACGACAGATCACACTCAGATTAAACAATCTCTAATATAAAAAACAATGCCAAAACAATAGAATCTGTATCATATTCAGTCATACGTACCATCCAGCACTATACTAAGGTACTGTGGGGAAAAAATGCTAACAATTGTTTATCAAATTCTTTTAGGACTGAATACACCACTCTTGCCTTCAATACAAAGAAAAATAATATCTATTGTAATTGTTCAAACATTAAGAATGTTGTATACACATAAATTCATATAAAAATTTAAAATAAAAAAAAACTAAAAATTGTTTAGAAACAACGTATTTGCGTTTAATTTGAGTTTTTGTAAATAATGATCTCTTATTTTTGTTCTATAATTTCAGAGTTGCCTTCTTAAATGTAGTTAACAGACTTATTTTTTCCTGTAAATTGCATAAAACTGATTAAAATGTTTTAAAAATACCATTCACTTAAGCATACTGTAGCAGTGATTCATATTTCACTGCTACAGACAGATCACTGCTTAGATATTTTATTTTGAATTTAATACAGTTATTGCTATTATTGGTCGCACCACATGATGAGTGGTCTTTCCAAATGACCCAAAGACGTTATATCATTAAAATCTGTCACGACATGTTAAAGAGCCACAAAACAGTATTTGTTGTTTGAATTTCTTTCAAAAAAATGACAAAATTTGAACACTGAGACTTTGTTTCATACTAAAAGTAACCAGCTCTGTCTTGTCTGTCAGCTCATTGTCAGTGTCCTCTTTGCTCCGTGATGTATTTTTCAATGCGTGAGAACATGATGTATGGCATAAAAGTGCCATGGTTTGTCGGACGTAGCAACAGTAACTAAGGGGGGCAGGTCTTTGCGAAAGGTCAATTTAGAGTAGGGGGAGGTTGCTGGCTCAGGTTCTGAGATAACAACATGAACATCTTTCTTATAGTAGAAAATTACATCTGGAGTTTGTGCTAGAGTGCAGGGTCAGAATTAACATGCTGCCTATGGTGAGTGTTTATTTTACTTTGCTTGGCAGTGGAATCTGGCAGAATAGATTTAAATAGTTATAATAAATAAATAATAAATTACTAATAAATGCATAATTACCCAACTAAAATTACATGCTCTGAATTATTTTTTTTGCATTTCTTCTCATATTGTCACTATGAAATTTATAACTAAAATAAATACTTGCAGAAATAACTTAATATTGTTTTTTTTAGGTCATACCACATGATATCCAAATGTGGTAACTACATACCAGTTGTTAAAAAGGTTATTTTTTTCCAAATTTGAAAGAGACTTATAAACCTGTTTGATGCTTCCATGGGTCCTTAGCAAATTGGTATATGATGCAAAGTCCTATCTTTGAATGGATTTCAACATAAAAGTCCCAAAATGGTAGTTTCTTGATGGTCGCACCACATGATATTTCATAAAACGCACATCATCGGACAAAGTTTGTTTTTATATTATGATGGAAATATAAATACAAATGCTTTGCAATTTTACACAGGATTACAAAACACTTTGGAAATCATGCCAAATAGTGCATAAAAATTAATTTGAATACATTTAGGGTAATTTCAAAGATGTTTACAAAAAAAAAAGTTATGGCTGGACGGTCGCACCACATGATATTTTGACACTTTGAATATCAGAAAAATTACAAATAACTAATGTTTTTTGAAAAGTTAAAGTGAGTTAATACATGGGAGAGGTCCTTCATATATATGGCATCTTTTTTATGCATTTAAACCAATTCTTAACTGAAAAAATGCAATCGGACAGAAAATTTAGGCGTCACGTCATTGACCCACATATATCCAAGCTTCCTACAACTTTTGACCTTTAAAATTTAAGTCATTATTTTTTTCCATGTCTGAAAATGTCAGTGGGAACCCTGTGAGTATTTAGCACTTATTTTTGTTCATTTCAAACCTTGATATGGAATTCCAGGTTTTCATCCATGGAGTAAATGTAGTTGAATATATCCTGGACGATCCGCGGAATAATGCCCATGCCATCTGGATCATGCAGGTTTCCCTAAACAATTGCACAAACACGAATTCAAACGCTATGATAATGTCTGATGATTTACGGTACAGTAAATATACTGATAGTCATAATTAGCAAAAATGGAATCAGTGGAATCAGTAACAAAAACACACTTAGTTTGTTTTAAAGTAGCTAATTGTTGAAAATCATACTGCCTGTTGCAGTAAACAATTCTTTTTGACTCTGAATATGTTTATTTCTAGAGGAATTCTCACCTCCATAGTGTGTGTTTTTCCAGAAGAGGTTTGTCCATAAGCAAATATTGTACCGTTATAACCTTCAAGCACATCTGCAGGGCACAAACACAGCAAAACATTCCATTTGAATAAATGCCCCATACAAGAAATACGGTATTTAGTGATGCTTAATTCATATCAATTAATTATTAATGATTACATATTAATGGAACATGAAAGTTTTTTTTTTTTTTTTTTGGAGTCAATTAATTATAACTATTTCCTGAATCATGTGATCCGGATGCCATGTCTCCTGGAGGACTCCTTTCTCACCTTTAACAATCTTCTGAGCACAAGCGTTGTAAACCTGCTCCTGAGTAGTGTTAGACTGAAACACTCGATCAAACACATACGGCTTTCCCTGGAGAGAAAGAGAGACAGAGAATGAATGATGGCTCATTATGCATACTGTATATTTGTTATATATATATATATATATATATATATATATGATAAATCAGCAGACCACAGTCATAAGACTCAAAGATGATCCTTCATGGAAATGTTTTACATTCAGACTAAACATGACCCTCATTACTACAGGCTAAAATACAAAACATCCTTCCCTCCTGTTACGAATGGCTCTAACCGTTAACACAAACAGCAGACTCAGTAAATCAGGTATGAAATTCAGCTGTTATAACACAATAAGAGCATTTTATAAGAGGTCTTCCTCCAGGCATGAGCTCACTCTGTACAGCTATAAACAGATTTAACAGTGAACATTCTGTTTATTAGCAGCCCTGCTTTCAGAAGTTTTTGACTTATTCCGGTTTCTCTAAAGGTTTTAAGATTTTAAAATACCTTGAACTACACCATCTGCAAGATTAATTTCATTACAAAAATGGACAAGACAAAGGTGCAAGACTGTATTCTCATCAAATACAGCATTGCAACTGATGCAACTGAATCATTTTTGTTAAATACCAATAATACACCACTACTGGTGTTTTATATAAAACATTAAAACTGAGTTTGTGAATTGTATGTGATAAGCGTAAGACTGAGCGCAGCTAAATAATTTTTTAACTTTTTTTATATTTTACTTTTAATGAAAAAGTTTAAACCAACAAGAAAATGAGTCCACAAGTAATTGAATCAGTAACTGATATGAATCATCTGGACTAGACTGAATCATCAAATGACTCACTAGCTTACTGAAATGGCATTTTAACTAAAAAACAAACAAAATATGTTGGAGAAAAGAGTATTGGTTATTGTTTAGCATGTCCGTCAGCTGTGCATCTCTAAAAATAGAGGTAAAAGCACAAATAATCTACTCAATAAAAGGCATAAATTGTTACCAGTTTGACAAGTGTAATCATTGTGTATTAGATGGCTATTTTCCTTGATAGCATTACGCTTGAACAATTCGATCACATAAGTGGGATGAACATGGGCATAAGATTTAAGAATGTGATGTCAGCATTGGCAGTGAAAGCCTGTCATAGGAGTAGTAAAGTAATCCCTTTACATTCAGGTAAACTCCCATTCATTCACACAAGACAGTCACTAATCGCCTTACAACTGATTGACACCCATCAAAAGACAATACATCATCACAATCCAGTCAAAAATACAGCTGAGACCCCTCACAACACAAGACACATCAGATCTCCTCTAAAAGATCCAGACGTTGTTGGGAAATAAAAATAAACAGGGTGATTTGATACCAAAGAGCTTGAAAGAAGAGCCATAAAGATTATATGACAATAAAAATTGGTTCATGGTCTTTTTTTGATCCATGAGCGCTATGAGTTCTTGGTCTCATTGAATATGTGATATAAAAAATACTGCAAGAAAAAGATAAAGGAAAAACAAACAGAAGCGAACAAACTGCAGCTTAATTCACATTCTGTAGCCTAATTCACATAGAAAGATTTCTGAGTCTTTTAAAGAATCAGCTCTTCTGATTCTTCAACACTTCTTGGTTTAAATCATATTGACAAAATCTACACCGAATGAACTTTAAAGGTTACTGAAGCAAGTTCTGTGATGAATCTGCTCATTAGCAAGGACACTTCCTCGTGATCCTAATTGGCTGATTCTGGTTGACGTGACCTCTCCACTCCCGACTGACTTCTTGTCAGCCGTCCAAATGGCAAATTTCCTCACCATACCACTATAACAGGACTAGATTAACCAGGTGAGGAAACAGCTGTGAATGTAACACAGCTAGGCAGATTAGTTTACCTGACCAACCTCTAACACAACATTACACACTCACATCTACAACACCACAAGCCTACATCTAAAATTCATTTTAAGAGGCTTATATTGGTGTCCAATGACCACCGCTAATATCAAGATATCTTGAATCTATATCTATACGACCACATAATCTCAGCAAATTACACGAATACACAAAATTGCTGACTTTAATGAACAGTAATTTGCATAATCTCCAAAAATACTTAAAAACAGACAATGTGCATCATGTACTGACAATCCTTTACTATAATTTATGTACAGTGCGTACGGAAAGTATTCAGACCCCCTTAAATTTTTCATGAGTGTCACAGCAAAGGGTCTGAATACTTAGGACCATGTGATATTTCAGTTTTTCTTTTTTAATAAATCTGCAAAAATGTCAACAATTCTGTGTTTTTCTGTCAATATGGGGTGCTGTGTGTACATTAATGAGGAAAAAAAATTTACTTAAATGATTTTAGCAAATGGCTGCAATATAACAAAGAGTGAAAAATTTAAGGGGGTCTGAATACTTTCCGTACCCACTGTATTTATTTCATACTATTATTAATAATATAATAATATTTTTTAAGATATTATCGTTATTCGGTAGGCACATTTATTGTCTGATGCCAATAATCTTGGCCAAATATCTGACAATTAATTTCTGAGTGTTGTTATAGTATTATATATACTAACAAAGTATTTAAAAAAATAATTTTTTAGTAATTTTGTTATTTCTTTTATATTTCTATTTAGCTTTATTTTTTATTTAAGCTTTAGCTTTAGTAATTTTAGCAGTTGTACTTAAACGTTCAGTTAGTTGGCAAAGTAACATTTCTAATTTTCATTTATGTTTTATATTTAACAAAACTTATATTTTATTTTAGCTTTGTTTTAATTAACATTTGTAATAGTTTTAATAGTATATTTTACTGTCCCCAACAAATCAATAACATCTACCCAGCAAGTTTACATGATACAGCAACATTTTCTTTAATTACCTCATGTAGTATAAAATCATTATAATGTAGAATAACTATGTCCATCAATACTAACATTTAACATGTTCATTGTCAAATAACATAACTTGAACATTCAGTGACCAAAATGTCTCAATAATCAAAGACTAACATACATGAGAGCATGCTCTGTGTTTTAAAATATTAATAATGCACAACATTACAGCTTTGGAATTTCAAATGACTTATTTTAATGTCTTCAGACAATCACAAGACTACAAGAAGAGTGTTTTTGAGTAGCTGAATGTCCCGAGGCCTCCTTCACAGCCATGATTGGAACAGCACTGTTTACAGCTCTCAGTATTCCCAATGAGAGATTATAATTGTGCTCCCAACGGTCACAGAGACGGGAACGTTCGTCACATGTTAGTTTCAAACATGCATGAGAGTGTGTGCTGTGCTTGCGTAGAGACAAAGAGAGAAAAGAAAGGAACAAGCATAAAAAGAGCTGTAATTACAGCATATTCCCTTATGAACTAATAGTGAAATGAGAACAATATCAACACAACAAGACATGCATATTCCCAATGCTGATCCTTGTATGTGTGGCTGGACAGACAGGTTTGGTTTTCTTCGTTACAGCAAGATTTACTGCCCAATTTATGACCCTATCCACCTGCTGAAAGCCATTATACCAACACACGCACGCTCCATTACACCGGACCGGGATAGTTGCTCTGGTGCTTGATGCTGACTTGCCCAAAGCAGCTGGAAGACAAAACTCATTTGGCCGACTCTCAAATACACACACAAAACGCGTCAGTGCACTGGAAAACAAAAGGCCGAGTGTTGGTCAGACAGTATGGTGTCACTGCAGAAATGAAGAACAAGATGAAAAATTCTAGACGCGGTATTGCAATTTCACTCAGTAAGACAGAAAAAATTCCAGATCAGATTGTCCACAGCAAAACCACAAAACCGCTCCGCCTAATAGTTACCCGTACACTACATAGACTGCAGGAGGGAACTTTAGGATGTGACTCCGGTATTGGCCAGTGTGGTCCAACCTAGCTATCGGTATCGGCAAAATCCACTATCGGTCGACCTCTACTCAACACCGCATAAGACTATTACTACTCTAATAGATATCTATAGCTACTGCATTCTGAGTTCAAACACGTAATTAAAATAAATGCAAAAAGCATTATTTACTGCCATTCAATAACAGAATAACTACACTTTCTAGCATGTAAAGCCATTTTCATAATGTAAATAAATTAGTAATGATGCACTGACAGAAAATAGAAGGGATGTGCACAATCAAGACATTTTAATCCATAAGGAGAAGCCAATATCATGCCAAACCAATGATGTCAGCATTTTAATGAGAATTAGGCCTATTTCTTTTTTACAGTCTCTGAAGAGTTACAAATCCAAAACAAAACATATGAAAATGAATTCAACTTCAACAGAAGAGGTGCATTTAAGTCATTAATAATTAATAATAATAATAATGTAATGAATATCTTTACTTATCTAGCCAGAATCATTTACTCTTTGAACTTTTAATCAATTTAAACTTTCACGTCTTCACAAACAACGTATTTTAATAAACTAACATAAAACCTGAGACGTAGGAACATTTGGATTATATGCAATATCTACACGCCCTTAAACAAACAAACAACCAAACAAATGATAAAGGAAGCGAGTTTACGTCATTTCATGCTCTAAAAATACACATGTGTGTGTCTGTTCCTAATAGAAGCATAAATATTAAAGCCATAATAAATTACTCGAAATGGTCTTTGTTTATTCATGTTATTAACGTAGGCCAAATCATAACAGACTGGCATTAGTGACTGTTATGATCACATTTACTTAATCTATTCAGTTAATTTCACCTATTAACGTTAATTTCAGTATGAAATGTGCAATTGTATAACGTTATATTTATTTAGCTTTTGTTGATTTTCTAAATAAAAACAAACTGGTTAGCATTAGCACAGGGGCTAGTGGTTAACGTTACTTATCATCCGTTTAACATCAAAATCCACTTCGAAATGCACTAAAATACAAAATTATGCCAAAGACGCTTAGGTCCTACTGTTTCTAAGTTCATAATCAAACATTTTGACATTGTGCTGCCTGCATTACATCTGAGGGCTGTTAGCCACCGAGCTAACGATGATTTAAAACCCTTCACCTTACGATTATGTTACTAAATTGAAGCCTCACGTACAACATTTCCCACACAGAATAACGCTAAAACACAAATTACTATCATATTTCCACACAAAAAGGTATTAAAGATGATATTTTCTGTCAGGATAAGTTACGTCTGCAGGTGGTTAGCGGATGCTAATAGAAATGGATGGCGGGCGTCACGGCGGAAATTCATCTTGATATCATATTATAAACTCACCCCGACGACCACATTATCGTCTGCTTGAAATTTGGGGATGTATTTGTCTCCCCTCATCACTTCCGAACCGTTTAAAGGCCGAAAACGGCACATGACTTTGATGGTGCACTCGGCCGGGTCCGCCATCTTCAACTGTGAGGAGGAGGATGAGGAGGGAGGAGGAGGATGATGGTGAGCGCTCCTCCCGTGGTCGGTCTGTTTTTGGTCTGTTTAGGTGGAAGTGGGTTTTGACAGAATGGGTTTTGGATGGAGGGAGCGAAGTTGCTGGCACACCCCCTAACAACACACTCTCTCACACACACAAACAAACACACATAGAGAGATGATGAAACAAAAGGGGCTAGTTGTCAAACTGGGAAGCTGTCACAAAAGCTACTTCTTAGTAATTCAGCCTTTAAGAAGAGTAAAAATACAGCCTACACAACCGTTTAAATACATTACAAAATTCACACACACACACACAAAAAAAAAATTCTACTGAGACCCTGTGACAACTTGCCCCGTAATGAATCAAATGCACACTTATGAAGTTTCATATTCTACAACAGAGCTCCTTGCTTCTGTATTTGACACTGTGAAGTGTTCCCTCAAAATGCACGCACACACACTATCCTTTGCAGACGCAGCATTGATTCTGGATGATTCAGGGGTCCGTTGGATCCTGATGGATGTGTGATGCCAAGTGATGTCACAGATGCTTTTGCAGAGCTGGAGGCCGAAAGCTGGCGGATATTGGATGGTTAAATTTAAATGTCTTGTATCAGCTCTGATTCACTCACTTTGATTAAGCATAGACTTGTTGATTTATTAGTATACGATGGCTAAAGAAAGGTATGATAAACGAATATTCCAGATTCAAAACATAGAGTTAAGTTCTATTACCACATGAATAAAAATAAGAGTTTCATGAGGTATTAAAATGTATTAAATGCCGAATTCCTGCCAACCATAACGTCATGCACACAGATGTGGTTGGTGGAAATGACTCATCACAAGTGCTGCATGGACACATTACCCGGGTGTGGCAGGAAGACACATGGCTGGAAATATTTCAATTCCTTATGAGTAAGCAACAGTAGCAATGCTTGCATTAGCAAATATTGATACTAATTACAGATACAGCATTTTCAGAGTGGTTTCTTCTTGTATAGATTTAGTTCTGAGATATAGTACACATTTTTGTGGTTTGAAAGTATGTTTCTGAGTTGCACTATTGTCTCAGATTTCCCAACCAGCTGCTACTTCAAAACACATTTCATAATGCTGAGATTTGGGAGTTATTTGGAAGAGGTATCAATGAAATGGCATGCCAATTCAAGTCAACGTGAAAGACACACAATCCATTTTTCTTCTGTAACGTGATGGATTCTCAAGTAGAACAGAATATTTAACAAGAAAAATGTTTAGTTTTTTGGTAGAAATTAATGTTCAGCAGGGATGCATTACATTTATACTAGGTTTCTATTTATAAATGCTGTACTTTTGAATATGAATCATGAAAATCTTGTATCAAAGCTTTCATAAAAACTTTAATCAGCAAAGCTGTTTTTAACACTGATAATAAGAAATGTTTCTTGAGCAGCAAATAAACACAGAATGATTTCTGAAGGATCGTGTGACACTGAAGACTGGAGTAATGATGCTGAAAATTCAGTTTTGCAGCACTAGAATAAAATACATTTTGAAATCTATTCAAATAGAAAACAGTTATTTTAAATTATAATAATATTTCACATTATTGCTGTTTTTACTGTATTTTTTATTATAAAAAATGCAGCCTCGGTGAGCATAAGAGACTTTCAAAAACAAAAAAAAATCATTTGAACAGTACTACCGTACATATATTTGTACTGATTAATTGAGCAAAACAATAAAAGGATATGCATTAAGAAAATAAATAGATAAATTGTTTATTTCAATGCATGTTGACTTTTTTAGTTATGGGACTTTATCATGGGCATATTTTGCTGGGCCTGTAACTCAGAGCTCAATTAATACATTATTTTCTAGTATCATCCTCAGCTCGTTTCCTTACACCTGAATTTCTATTAGGCGATCAATAAAATGCATCAATCTCTGTGTGCTTTCACTAAACCCTCTGACACGTCTGCTCAATAGACTGTGCAGGAATGTGTGTGTGTGTGTGTGTGTGGTTCTGTTATCTATGGTCACACCTGCTGCCACTCTTTGTGAACATCAGGACATCACCGCAGGCGAAAGGAAGCTGGAACGACACGTCTCAACAGCCCTGTTTAAATGGACAGATGGATGAGAGAGATAGAGGGAGAGACAGAAAGAAAGTGAGCTCAGCTGGGATTGAGAAAAAAAAAATTCTGGGTGTTGCCAATCTGAGGGACTATGTTGTTAATTTGACCTGTTTAGACTGAGGAAAATATCAAGGCAGAGCTGCAATACAAACAAAAACTATTAGTGACACTCTGATGAAATCCTTTGCTTTATGTAAGAAACAATTTAAGGGATAGTTGCATTATTGTCATTATTTACTCATTACTTACTATAATTCTTTATTTACTTACTTTTTTATTTAAGTTAAATGTGGTTGCATGACAAACAGCTTTAAAGTTTTTTTTTTTGAAGTGTTACAAGCTCTTGGTGCATAAAGAAGATCTGTAAAGTTGATTTAATAAGAAAAATGTTTAGTTTTTTGGTAGAAATTAATTTTCAGCAGGGATGCATTACATTTATACTAGGTTTCTATTTATAAATGCTGTACTTTTGAATATGAATCATGAAAATCTTGTATCAAAGCTTTCATAAAAACTTTAATCAGCAAAGCTGTTTTTAACACTGATAATAAGAAATGTTTCTTGAGCAGCAAATAAACACAGAATGATTTCTGAAGGATCGTGTGACACTGAAGACTGGAGTAATGATGCTGAAAATTCAGTTTTGCAGCACTAGAATAAAATACATTTTGAAATCTATTCAAATAGAAAACAGTTATTTTAAATTATAATAATATTTCACATTATTGCTGTTTTTACTGTATTTTTTATTATAAAAAATGCAGCCTCGGTGAGCATAAGAGACTTTCAAAAACAAAAAAAAATCATTTGAACAGTACTACCGTACATATATTTGTACTGATTAATTGAGCAAAACAATAAAAGGATATGCATTAAGAAAATAAATAGATAAATTGTTTATTTCAATGCATGTTGACTTTTTTAGTTATGGGACTTTATCATGGGCATATTTTGCTGGGCCTGTAACTCAGAGCTCAATTAATACATTATTTTCTAGTATCATCCTCAGCTCGTTTCCTTACACCTGAATTTCTATTAGGCGATCAATAAAATGCATCAATCTCTGTGTGCTTTCACTAAACCCTCTGACACGTCTGCTCAATAGACTGTGCAGGAATGTGTGTGTGTGTGTGTGTGTGTTTCTGTTATCTATGGTCACACCTGCTGCCACTCTTTGTGAACATCAGGACATCACCGCAGGCGAAAGGAAGCTGGAACGACACGTCTCAACAGCCCTGTTTAAATGGACAGATGGATGAGAGAGATAGAGGGAGAGACAGAAAGAAAGTGAGCTCAGCTGGGATTGAGAAAAAAAAAATTCTGGGTGTTGCCAATCTGAGGGACTATGTTGTTAATTTGACCTGTTTAGACTGAGGAAAATATCAAGGCAGAGCTGCAATACAAACAAAAACTATTAGTGACACTCTGATGAAATCCTTTGCTTTATGTAAGAAACAATTTAAGGGATAGTTGCATTATTGTCATTATTTACTCATTACTTACTATAATTCTTTATTTACTTACTTTTTTATTTAAGTTAAATGTGGTTGCATGACAAACAGCTTTAAAGTTTTTTTTTTTGAAGTGTTACAAGCTCTTGGTGCATAAAGAAGATCTGTAAAGTTGCAAAGACTAAAGTCTCAAATCCAAAGAGATATTCTTTATAAAAGTTAAGAGTCAGCCACACCTACCTAAAACGCCTCGTTCTAACACGCCCCCACATGTCTACGTCACGATGTGGGAATATTTGCATAACGCCGCCCAAATGTTCACACAAAGAAAGAAGGCGTAACTTTTATTCTCGCTGTAGTATTGTTGCTGCCGCCATGTCGAGAAGACCGCCGGATCGGCTTTCACCGTCACATGTGACGCTCGCCGGCTGCTCCTTTGTCGAATCTGCCAGCCGCGCCATTCTCATTATAATCCGTAATTATGTCCCCACTGGATGCAACAAATGCCTCGTTTATAATGGGTTTTAATGTTTTTGTCTCATCGCTCCGGCCTGGACACGGCATCACAATATGGTAGGGGTATACGCTTGAGGTATTCGGCCAATCACAACGCACTGGATCGCTGGCCAATCAGAGCACACCTCGCTTTTCAGACCAATGAGCTTTGTAAAAATCGATGCGTTTCAGAAAGGCGGGCATAGAAGAGAAATAATAATGTACTGTATGAGGAAAATAATGTGTTTTTTAACCTTAAACCGTATAAACACATTTCATTACACCAAATACACAAAATAATGTTCTTTTTAGCAACATCATATGACCCCTTTAACATTTTGTGATCCATTGAGAAAAAAAAAGAAGCATTTCTTCATGATCGAGACATAAAATAACCTTATAAGTACATAAGATTTACATAGAATTATTTAAAAAATAAAAACAATTTAATTTATTTAAATATATTTAAATAAATTATTTAAATATAAACAATTATATAAATAAATATATTGCAATTATTAACTTAATACATATATTTTATAAATAAATGCATACACAAACACACAAATAACAATTAAAAGTGAATAAAATTAAGAAATTAAAGCAAAGAGTAAAACAAAAAATCAAAAATATTTTGGGTAAACTATGCTTTATTTTGGCCAATTTACACAGGTAAACAAGAGGGCAGAGCTTTTCTTTCTTGCCTTTAAATATGTAACACCTTAATACCATTTGGCAGTCATTTCTTTGTCACTAAATTCAGAACTGATGAATCTGCAGTTCGTGAGATGTCATTAAAAGCTCATATCTATAATAATGTTAAATACAGGTATGTATATAACACTATAGTGTTCATCAGCTGTTTTGCATTTTAAAAGTTTTCATACACACACACACACACACACACACACACACACATATTTAGTTAGATATCATCAGGAGGATAGACAAAGCATAGAGTGATGATAAACTCGCTGATCAGCGAGTTTT